CACAAATTACATCTAATACAGAGTGGAGTAGTTTGGAAAACTAAAATATAGAAACACTTTAGTAAATTTGCAATACTGTCACTGTGTTCATCAAGATTTGCAGTGTCACACACCACTAGTTTGTCTTTTTGGCTTAGATGTTGTTTAAGAAATCCTGACACAGCCAAACAGGACCGCCACTGCCTGGCACCATGTTAGTATCACATCCATTCTTTTTGTTGCCACATTCTTTCTGAACTCGCTCACATTTTCTTCCATCTACGGTATCAGGCGAGCTGCAGCAGCTGTTTGCATTCCCGGAAGCGTGAAAATGCTGCAGTGCGTAGTTTCACTGTTTACATCCTTGATGGATGAGTCATTTCTTTTGGCAGCCTGTCAGTTCATGTTACCTCAAAACACAAGAAACTCACCTTTCAAGGCAGAAGCCACCAACATCGGGAGGGAGAAGAAAACTACAACCGACGACATTTCTGCAGGTCGCCCAACGGTCGGCCTGCTGTTTGGTAGTGGTGGGCGGATCGATCCAAATATAGATGGCACATACAACCCCGATATTGGTAGCGAATCTATACTAATGTGACAGGATCAGTGGTTTACTTTGCTCTGTAAACTCTGTAAGGACATGCGTCTCTGCAGGGATTTCCGTCCTCCAGTTGTTGTTTTCCTAATGTCACGTGACTCGGTGAGGACGGGCGAGAGGAGGAAGGAAATCCCTCACAAAGACCCCCCAGCAAAAAAGTACAGAGTAACCGGGCAGCTTATGTCGTTGTTTTTATTTTCCTTCTTTACCTCACTCTGTGACTAAATTTAATATAGTCTGTGACTACAACACAAGCATACAGGCCAATTTTGGTAGCATCTGTTTCAACATCTGCCTGTCCCCACCCTCTTTGTCAGGGTGGGGACAGGCAGAGGATCTAAAGGTCGAAGTTCAAAATAATTTAAAATCAGGACACCGACCCTGGTGCGAGTAATCCTCGCTGGCTTTTAAAATGACCGCAGCAGTTATAATAAGCAGCGATCCTGCTGAACCCTTATCAGTGAGGATTAAATGAGCTGCAGGACCTCTGGGTTAGACTGACTCAGTGTGAGCTTGGTGATCCTAACATACAGGACGCTGAGTGTAAATCTGCTATACATCAGGTGATGCTGTTTGTTTGTGTAGCAGTACTCTGATCATAACGCTCTCACATGCTTATCATTTGCTGCTCGTTGCTCTTCTACAGTGACAGCTGCACATTACAGCTCCGAGACTTAAAACTGCATGCACTGTTTGTTAGTTTGTCGCTCCACCAAGTGAATACACGTAGAGCCCTGCACACAGTGTAACTTCACTACTTCCTTTTTTCTCAGCTGTGGGCAGGCTGCGCGTACAAATGCTAAAAGAAACAGCGAAGCTCAACTGACTTGAAACCAAAGCTGATCACTGACGCCCTCTGCTGCTGCTGATCGGCTCTTAAAGCCAGGGGTGCAGTTTTTACCCAACGGATAAAATGTTGACTGACACTACACGATATAAACTATGAGATACCAGCATGAGATGGTCACATGAATATAAGGAAAGGTCGCTATTATATCTGAAACTGTGTTCCCAGAGTCAAGAAGTTCACTTTACGCGCACAAGCTGACTGTAATTCAGCTTCATTACCGCGAGAAGAAGCAGCTGAGCACATCTCCCACAAACACGGTTTACAGTTTAAAGTGGAGAGAAAAATCATGCAGTTCACAGCAGCCACATGAAAAGCGCAACACGTTAACCCTCCCTCACAAAATGAAGCCGCTGCTTCTTCAAATCGACGTCCGTCCACTACCAGAGGAAGCACGGAATAGAGCCCACAGCTTCACCAAGGTCATCCACAGACACGTGTAGAGCATGTGTGATGGTAAAGGATGAAGGCTGTTATAAGAAGTTGGAGCAGATACAAATGCCAGGAAGTCAACGTGGGATTTTCGGGGATTTGGCGTTGGTGCCATTGCGCTGAATAAAGAAATAAAAACTCACCTGTTCATTGTTTTTGGGATTCAGGTGTGAGCCGCTCCGTTCTCACACCACTGTCGAGTTTATCTCCCGCTGTCCCGAGGCGGAGCTGAACTTTCCCCTTGTCGACCGGCTCGCCTTGGAGCCAGATCACACCCGGCGCCAGCATGCCACACCATCTTCAGGTAGCCCGGTCAGGCGCCTCCGCAACCAGATAAGAAACTCCGAAGAAGGAAAACAACAAAAGAACAAATCCGTTCAGTTTAAAAAAACAAAAAACAGAAGCTGTGATCCAAGACTAGAACGTCCTCTGAGAGACCGTTTTCACCAGGTTGCAGAGGAGTACCAACCTGCTCAGACCGGTAGCAGCAGCCTACAGCGGATCTTCCGCTGTAGCCCCTCCTCCAGCATCGACGACGATGGCACTTATAGATACATGTTATCCAGCCTCTGTCTCATGTATGAAATATTTTGACTTGTATTTTTATTTTTAAAGCCTACAGTAGCTGTTTTACTGCTGTATTTGTATGTTTTAATGACACCCAGCATACGACCCACGCTAAAGTTCGACAGTTTGAACAATGAGAATCTGTCGTTTACAGGATGCGGGGATTTTCCATTTAAAAAAAACCAAAACATCAGCACTTTTGCTTCACGCGTGACTCCGCTTACTATCATGAACTGAGTGAAGGAGCACGTAGCAGCGATGCATTTATACAGTTTATATTTTGCATATTACTGACAGACGGAGGAAGAAAGTAGTTCCTACCAATCGTTTAGACACTTTCCACTGTGTCCCGTAAATCATAAACTAACAATTTACCCCAACGTTACTAAAACATCGATATTTTAATATGAGAATCAGACCTAGAACATAAATATCTCTTAGAATCGATATTTCAGTATTGATCCACACAACAGCTGCACAACACCCTTTAACAGCACCAAGGCTGTAGCTGAGAGGATAGAAAAGAAAAATTTCAATTCAATTTATTTATACAGCGTCAATTCACAACAGACACCTCAAGGCACTTTATATTGTAAGTTAGACCATACAAAAACCCAACAATCATATAACCCCCTATGGGCAAGCACTGTGGCAACAGTGGGAAGGAAAAACTGCCTTTTAACATGAAGATCCCCCTGGCAGATTCAGTGTTATGAAGGAAGGAAGGCTCAGAGTTTAAGTAGTCATCATCATGGGCTCATCCGATTAGAATGTGAATAAGCAGTCATCACTCATAGGCTTCTCCTTTTATTCTCAAAATCAATAAGGAAAGACGCATGAATTGCCAGCGCTGAAAGAAAACAGATCTAAGTTACTCATTACCTTAAACAACGCATGAAATCAAAAACCCAAACAGAATCTCACCTCCACTGCCGCCCAGTGTGGGAGTGAAGAAAGAGTGAGCCAAAAGTGAATGCAGTCCTTATATAACACGTGACAGGTGAGTTGTTACGGATTCAAATATTGGGGATGGATACGAGAGGAAAAACCACAATAACAACACTGGTCCGGCCGGGTTGAGTCAAACGATGATTTTAATGATCACACGCGTGGGAGATGGAAACTGAATGCAGACAGCATCAGATCTCAAAATAGTGGAGCATTGATCAAACTCTTATAGCCTCTGGTGCCTCCACCTTATCATAAAAGCCTAAACATTCACATTCTTTCTCTCACACAGCGCCTAAGCTACGACCTTGGCTCCCCGTTTATCTGCTCGTGCTGAGATGGGGCAGAAAACTCCAGCATGTTCTATTCTCTTCTAATCAGACAAATAAGACGATGACTTTCTGCGAACAGTATTTCTTATAACTCAGCAGTATAATGCATCATAAAACAATATCATTCATTCATAATAAATCAGCAGTCTAATGTAATGCAAATCAGTTTAACAAATGCAATAGTTATCAGCTTCTTCTAATTCAGGAGAATAATGCAAACTAAAACTACATAATAATTCACAACCTTTAATTAGGGGTCTAACATGGCAATTAAGGACAAGCACCACACCCAATCAAAGGTGAGAGAACTAAACAAGGTGCATCTGGTGAAGTGAGTGGGTGTGCTAGGATGTGCTAAAAGGTGGGTCTTTACAACAACCAGGATCGGGAATAGGGTCAGGACAGGCTGTAAAGGTCTTTTATCTTTCAGAAGACAAAGGAAATTTGGGAAGGTTTAAACATATAAATTACATAACATAATAAGATATCATAGATGGATGGATGTTTATATCAGGGTTTACAAATGAGAATTCTGGGCTTTCTTCCAGACACTAATGCGGATGAGAAAGCCTGCAGACAGTCTTCGCTCTTATTCATTTCAGAGGTGTTCTATCCATTTAACATCAGCCCAGTCAAGCTGTAGTGTTCGACTTCAAATGTTTGTAGGACTCCTGAATGTGAGCGGTGAAGATCAGCTGACTCTGGGTTGGGAGGTGGTGAACCCCTGTTGCAGGGTTGAGGGGACAGTGCTAATATAAATTCCTTAGGAAATAATAAAGTATTCTGACTGTGATACCCACAGCACCTCTGTTAGTATCCTTGCTTGCTAACTTGACATTTACATTTTTAAAGTGTTTACACTTTCCATCATGTTGGCATTTTGATTTCTTTTTTTTCTGTAGATATTTACAGCTACAGTAGCAATAACAACAACAAGAAGTCCGCATAAAAGAACTAATATAACAGGAAAAGATGTATCCTTGTCTCCTCCATCCTTGTGTCCTCTTTCTTTGGAGTCTTCTTCTGTGAAACATGCAGAGCAAAAAAAGTGTCAAGACTCAGCTACCAGGCAGGCTAAAAAGAGTTCTTGTTTTACACTTTCAAATATCTGTAACAGAGGTGATGTCAAAGCTGCTGGCAGTGAGCTGGATGTCAGAAGAGTAAGTAATGAATGTGTCTGCAGCTGTTTGGTTAATAACTGCAGGGTAGCATCGCTGTGCTCGTGTTTCATACAACAAGCAGAAAAAGACCATCAGCACCTTTAGACAGAGAGTGTGTCACTTTTGTTTTCTTTTTCAAACTGTCGGATGTCTATCAAGTGCAGAACCTTTCAAAATAAATGCATAAACCAAGCAGAAATATTCAATTAAATTCAGATTTAAATTACAACCGTCAAGGTGCTTTAAGGTGAACAAGTGTGGTATAAGAATCCACCCACCACAACAGGAAGCTTCTTATTGGATGAAACTATTTCCACATCACATACAAGCAGAAGGAAAATGAGCCCACTGTTGGAGCCTGCTGTGAGGATTTCACGAGGCACTGCTTTTACCATACACAGAGGACCACTCTACGCATGGAACAGCAACCCTTATAAACAGCTGTGCTGTTAAAGTCAGCTCAACCTACGAACTCACCTGTGTCTGTGACTGTGGGGTTGATGGAGTGCTTGAACTCGCTGACGACTCTCTTGCCACTGCTTGTCCTGCTGGTTGTAATCTCACACTTGTATATACCCGTATCGCTGATGCTGACTCAACAGTTTCAGAACACTCTGCTGTGCAAGTCTGCAGTTTGTGTTGTAATACAAACCTCATTTTGTTTCTGTTTTATCAACACAAAGACCTCTGAAGGGTTCAGGAGAGATGGGATCCCTGTAAAATTTGAAGAAAACATGATCAGCTCTGTCTTCCTGTACAAGTAAAGATGTGCTGATCTGTAAGTTTCAGCAAAGGCTTTTTGTTGTTGACACAAAGAGTTGATGAGCTGCAGCCGTGTCTTCGGATCCAGACAGTGAGCTGTCAGCTGCTTTTATTTAAGAAGCAAAGGACATAACATGAATAACAAGAGCTGCAAATTTCCCACTTCCACTCTGCCTTAAAATAGCAGCTACTGTTATAAAACAAATGTTTAGGGACATTTTTAAAAAGTGGGGATTGCAAAGAGCTCTTAGTGCGCAGCTGGGTTATGCAGCATGGGTGTGAGGAGGAAGTGTTATAGGTGGTGGAAATGATCACAATTGAGCACAAAAAGTCACCATAACCAGATGTTATCACTCTAAAACAATTAGTTTTTACCTTTGCAAATTTCTAAAGTAGTCCTGTAAATCTGTGTTCTCATCCAGACTGAGATTTGATCTGTTTTGGAGACAACAAAGATAAACTAAGCTGTCCACAGGATGGACTTTAGGAACTGACATTTAGGAACACTTCAGTCACTGTTAAAGGAAATATTTCAAATACTTTCTGTTAGCAGCATCACCCATGAAAATTCATTTCTATTGAAAATGAACAGAACAGATTCTTAGACTGCAGAACTAAGATAAAGATCGAGGGGAAGGAAGTCCACAAATGCAGAGAAAATCACTCATGTGGAAACCACCAAACACACCTCCTCCCTGTTCAAATCTAGATGTGCCTTCATGCACTCATTTTCATTCTATGATGAAATCGGATGTGTCTCAACACACTCAAAAAACATTTCAGTTTAATTCAGTTTTTTCTGTAGAATTTATACATCGCCAAACAGTTGCTTCAAGTCACTTCTAAACACATTTGAGATGAATGAACAGTTCAATTCAATTTTATTTATACAACGGCAAATCACAACAACAGCCGCCTCGAGGTGCTTTATATTGTAAGTTAGACACTACAATAATACATACAGAGGAAAATTCCTTAGGCGTTAATAAAGTATTGTGACTCTGAGATCCACAGCAAGGCTGTTAGTATCATCGCTTGCTAACATGACATTGCTGTAAGTTGTAACTGTGATTACAGGATCAGAGAAGAGAAATGCTACACAAAGTAATAATTAAACAGTTTAATTAACATCAACAACGACACTGAAGTAAAGCGAATTACAGTAATCCAGTTGAGATAAGATGAACGCATGGATTGCTCATTTGAGGTTTTAAAGGATTAAAGTGACGTCACGTTGGATAGGAGCCTTAATTTTAAAAAGGATCACTGAACAACTGAAATAATTTGTTTTTCTCAAAACAGATCTGGGACAGATCTGACACATTTCATGCCAGCTGTTCACTTTCCATCATGTTGGTATGATTTGGGTTTTTGATGATTGATTTTTTTCCCCTGTAGATATTTACAGCTACAGTAACAATAACCATAACACCAAGGAGTCCGCACGTCAGAATGAACATAATAACAAAAAAAGATATATCCTTGTCTCCTCCATCCTTGTGTCCTTTTTCTTTGGATTGTCCTTCTGTGAAACCTGCAGAGAAAAATCACAACAAAGGTTTGAGGACTCTGGTACCAGGCAGACTGAAAATAGCTCTTGTTTTACATTTTAAAATCTCTGTAACATTCGGTAGAGGTGATGTCAAAGCTGCTGGCAGTGAGCTGGATGTCAGACAAGTAAGTAGTGAATGGGTCTGCAGCCGTTTGGTTAATAACTGCAGGGTAGCATCTCTGTGCTCATGTTTCATATCATGTTTCTAACACAAACGGAAAAATACCATTCAGCAGCTTTAGACTGACTTTTTCAAACTGCTGCATCACATACAAGCAGAAGGAAAATGAGCCCAGTGTTGGAGCCTGCTGTAAGGATTTCATGAGGCACTGCTTTTACCATACACAGACGACCACTCTGAGCATGGAAAAAGCCAACATCATACCTCTGAGGTGTGAAGAATGCCCTTATAAACGGCTGTGCAGTAAGCTCAACCTCTACAAACTCACCAGACTCTGTGACTGTGAGGTTGATGGAGTGCTTGAACTCTTTGACGACTCTCTCGCCATTTCTGATGCTGCTGGTTGTAATCTCACACTCATATGTTCCTGTATCGCTGACCCTGACGTTCCTCAAAATCACAGCAACGTCTCCATCCTTCATGGATGAGTCTCTCAGCTGCACTCGGCCTTTAAAGGATTCGTGCTGGTAGTTCTCGTACGAGCGCTGGTCTTGGAAGAAGAACACATAACCCTGTGAGATGAGCTCCGGCCTGCTCCACTCCAGCAGGGTGATGTGTGCATCTCTGGGACCCCAACACTGAAGAGTGGCATCTTGTCCAGACCTCACTCGGAGCTCTGTGTCCAGAAAAAAGAAAGAGGAGAAAAACCCCCAAAACATTAATAGTGTGTTATACTGCACATCATGGACATGCATTATGCAGAAGAACACGTTGGACTCCATTTCTACCACTTATACTTCATGCAGACAGTCACAGCCTGAGACTTCTGACAGCAGCACTATGGATCACAGCAAGTACTGAACTGTTCTTGAGTTGTAGCAAGTAGAAGGGCAGAGTTTACAGTGTCACAATAATGGCTCTCATCTTGTGAGGTCACCATGGTAACCTGGTATGAAGCAGCAAAAACAATACTTGAATAAATATTTAAGTGACAGTTGCAATCCAACTTCAAAAACAAAACTCGGAGCTTAAAGTGCCTAAAGTAATAAAACTATTAATTATTAACAAATAGTATACATGTTTCATTAATGTGTCTATTGCTTTAATGTTACAGCGGGAGAGGACTGTACTGACTCACATACTGCTTGGCAGCTTGATCTATAACAGTAAAGAGTCATATTTAATCCTTTTTGTTTTAAATTTGCAAAATATTAAGTCAAACAAGCTTTAAAATAAATTGTGTTAAGAAAAGTACAATATTTGCATTCAAGCTTTCTAGATTTAATATGTAATCATGATTTCACACTCTTTAATCAGTACATTTTAAAATCATCCTCTCCTCACCCTCTGAATCATGACTTTGACTTTATACTGCCGTCGATGCTGTATCCTACGACACATTTTGCTGAGATGACGTCACCAGATGCAGTGAATAACATTTTCGGTTGAAAATAGAAACTTTTTGCTGTGACATGTGAGAGCAGCAGCTGCTACACAGACAGCTGGGTCTCCTCTTCTATGAAACCACAGCATTATAAACAGGAGAGGAACAGAAAGTAAAGTGTCATCTCAATATCAGTACAAACATTGGTATCAACATTGTCGATATTTGGATTTGTACACCTTTCATGCCACTGTTGTGAGATTTCCATTAACCTGTATTGATGCCCTCTTCATTGCAAATTGTGTCTGTCTGAAATGTGCTTTATAAGCTAATCATTTCTGTTTGTGGTGATGACGCCCAGTACAGTCAAACCGTGAAGTAAAAGTAACATTTTATTCCATCTTTGGCATCAGATCAATTACTCATACACCAGCTCCTAACATTTTTATCGATGCAACTGTGCAGTGCATGCACACACTGCAACATAACAACATCATGTATGCACTGCACGGTATTATTAATCATGCATTGTTTACTATCATCAAGCAGTGCCCACGTTCTTTAGCAAAGGTTGAGTCATTTCCTCCACTGCTAGTTCGTCCTGTCTCTAAACGCATGAACTCACCTTTCAATCCAGAAGCCAGTAAGACGTGAAGGGAGAAGAAGACCACAACCGACGACATTTTTGCAGACATTAAACGAGAAGAGGCGCGCACAATTTGAAAGCTGAAGGTTGTTTTGTTTTGAAATCGAAGTACTTTTGGTTTCATTTTTGACATGTCGCTTATGTAAGCTTGTACAGCTTAATCACATTCTCTTAGTTCCTGGATCAAACTCCTGTTTATCACCACAGTCACTCTTTATATAATTAATTTTTTGAAATGATGCTTTCTTACTGCTAGCCTAGAATACATTAAGGTCAGCTGATTGCATGCAGGTCCCTGAACAAAGAGTGTAACTTCGGGACTTCCTGATTTTTTTGTTTACTGCCTGTGAGCAGTGTTTGGCGCCATCACTCTAAAGGAAAAAACACATAAAGAAAGTACTACAAACTACTTTAAATAACCTCAAATACAAGTTTTAAAAAAAGAATAGAAAAGTCGTGATCAAGAAAAAAAAAAAGGTCTGTCTCTTTGGAGCAAGCTCCCTTCCCTCACAGAGGGAAACAAAACAACCGTTTAGGGTCAAGCAAGGCCCCAATGCAGTAAAGCTACTTTTGTTATGATGTGGTGCTATATAAATAAAATAGAATTAAATTGAATTGAAAGTTAAAAGTGTGTTTTTTTTAATCCCTCTCCTACAAGAAACAACACTGTAGCGTTGTTATTATTGTTGTTGTTATTATTATTATTATTATCATCATTATTATTATCATCATCATCTTTCTTATTTCAATTAGAAAGAGCTGTGCTGATTTTTAATGCAAATAAATTCTCAAAGAAATACCAAGACAGATATAAATAACCTCCCCCGCCCCTCTCCAAAAGAAACCCCCCCAAAAAAAACCCCCAACAACTAAAAACTGGCTTTTATTCTTTCAGTTTCAGTTTGTTGCTTTAATAAACCTCATGATTCATGTCTCAGGTTAAAACTGAAAGGTCAAAGGACTTTTTTCCATTAGAATGGAATGGGAATTGCTGATTTGCTGCCGGTGCCGTTGCGCCAAGTAAAGGGATAGAACTTAGAAGAACCAAATAGAAACTCACCCATTCACTGTTTTTGGGCTCCAGTTTGCTCTCATGTGTCTCAGACAAGTGTCTGGTTTCTCTCGCTCCCCCGGGATGTGGCTGGACGTTTTCCCTGTCAAGCTGCTCGCTGCGTCTGATCGCAGAGGAGTTTTCTCCATTCATTCTGCTCGGGACGCCTCGACAGCCAGATTGAAAACTCCATCCAGGAAATATAAAAGTTTACACTTTTATATTTCTTTTGTATTATATAAGATGGATTTACATCCATCTTAAGTGGCAAGAAACACAAACTTTGATCCATGACCGAAACATGACTATTTTTTTAGAGAAGTGCGTCTGTAAGTACCGCGTCTGTAAAAGCGCTTCAGTGACTCTTTTGCTACAGAGCTCCCCTACTGGCTGTGACGATGAAGACATCCAGGCTTCGTTCAGACCACAAGCGACAGGAAGTCGCATTTATTGTAACAACAACAAAATGTTTGATTAACCTTCCAGGACCTGGCGTCCTTCTATGTGGGCATCACATTTTGGGTTATTTAGACCAAAACACTCAATTTTGCTCTACAACCATATTCACTTACAAGGACATTACATTGCTATTGTTCTATCGCAATTTTAAACGAATATCCTCACGCGTGGCTCTCATTTCTCTTAGAAACGAAAGATCAGGTAAAAAAAAAAAATCTAGTAATTCTTTGTTTTTACATTCATCGGGCCCCAATGTGCCCAAATATCAAAGATAAATTAAAATGCATGCTGTGGAAGAGTTCGGGTCTTAGGAAGTTAAAAACAACAAGCACTGAAAATAAGGATGTGTAGCCTACATGTGGTGTTTTTACTGCAAAGAAACACGTGTTTCTGTGTGGATCTCTTTCCGTTTTTCTTTTTTTAATACGGCCCCGTGGGGCCGTATTAAAAAAAGATTATTATTATCAATCTTATTTTAACTAGAGAGAGCCTTCATGTCATGATGTTTAATGCAAATACAACCCTCAAAGAATGCAGGATAGATGTAAATGCAATAAATAAATAAACTAAACAAAATAAAACTGTCACTTTCAGTTCGCTGCTGTAATAAACCTCATGATTTACTTATCTTAAAACTAAAAGGTCAAAGGAGTTTTTTCCCCTAGAAGTGCTACAGAGAAACCACAGACCCCCCAAACTTTGCTACCAAGAGGAAGGAGGAGGGTTCAAGGGCTGCAGTGGAACAAAACGATCTCAGATCTGTGTGACACGATGGGACGAACACCTCTGTTGTGGCTGCTCTGTAAGTACCACATGCTCTTTTTTTGAAACCTTAGTATGTGATGTGTATATTTAAGATATTTTGGCTCCAGTGGGTTGAAGCCACAGATATTTGCTTTTACTTAAGACTTAAAACCTGTGTTAATAACAAAAGGGAAAAGGGTGTAACAGTAAATGTAGTTACACAGTATAAAAGGAAGTGCAGGTGGATGCTGCAGGTGCTTTAATCCAGCTGGGTTTTTGTGTTTAAGGTGAAATTTTAACAGCTTCACGCTTTCACGTCACTAAATTAGTTAAAAACTCAGATTTAGTGGTCGATGGTGCAGATAAACTACAGCGGTGTTAAACTGCATCCTCACCTCCCCCTACAGAGCACATCCTGTTTATCAGTCTGACATTCAGCTTGAGGTCACTGCCCCACAGGTCGAGTGGATATTTAGTATTTAAACCAAGAACACGTGAAAATCTATTGACTCTTTATCTCTTGGATTTCCTTTCAGTGTCGCTGCTCAGCTGGGCAACAAACCACGGTGAGGGAACTTTTTTTATGACAAATAAAAGACAATAAAACACCAACTCCCAAAAAGTACCACAAAGTAGCACAACAGTGGAGACAGATCAGGTTTAATGTGTCTCTGAGAAATGAAACAGGCTTACAAAGCTGTGATGATGCTTTAAAAATGTCCTGCTTTATTAATGTTTGATTAAAAATTCTGCCCCTGTGTTATCGGCAGGGGAGCAGACGGTAGTGTTTGCACAAACACAACAGTAAAGAAGAACAAATCACTGTGCAATAGACATTTGGCTGCTACATCTCATTAATGGGAATATTTCATTGCTTATTTATATATATTTATATATCCATCCATTCGCTTCAGCCTATTCTTTTTCAGGGTTGCAGGGGGCTGGAGCCTATCCCAGCTGTCTTAGGGCTTATCTATCTATCTATCTATCTATCTATCTATCTATCTATCTATCTATCTATCTATCTATCTATCTATCTATCTATC